GGCGTATGATGATAAATTGATTAAGACTCCAATAGACTTAGGTTTACACTTAGCCAAAAATACTTGTGATTTTGTATCTCAATTGGAATATTTACGCATTATAGGCAGCTTGATGTACATTATCAACTGCACGAGTCCGGGTGTAGCATACGTAGGCAACATGTTGAGTAGATTTACAAGTAATCTAAGTAATGACCATTGCAAGACATTAACCCTAGTTCTTAAATACTTAAGACACATGATTGGTTATAGATTACACTATTCAAGATATCTTGTAGTGATAGAAGGATATACCGATATGAATTGGATATCTAACACAAAGGATTCAAAGTCTACAAGTTGTTCTGTGTTTACCATTGGAGGTGGAGCTGTGTCCTGAAAATCATCTAAACAAACTTGTATAGTTTGATCCACGATGGAATCCAAGTGTATTGTCTTAGATAAAACTGGGGAAGAAGTAGAATGCCTTTGTAATTTTCTCAAAGATATTAAATGTTAAGAAAGTCAGTACTTGCGATTAATATACATTGTGATAATCAATCGACAATTGCGAGGGCACAAAATAGTTTGTATAATGGTGAATCTCGACATATTTATTCGTAGACATAACACCATTAAACAGTTGATATCGAATGTTATAATCTCAATTAACTTTATGTTAAACCAAAGGAAAACTTAGTGGACCATTTGACAAAAGGACTAATAAGAGACGAATATACCATCTTTCAGGGGGAATGGATCTAAGGCTCGACGTGTAGAATCACCACAGCGAAAACCCAACCTTGTAGATTGGAAGATTCCAAGATCTTAGTTCAATAGGATAACTAAGTTATGAAATATTTAGGGTAAAACACTTACTACATTTCCTAAGTGCTAGAATAAAAAAAAATGTATGAGGATAAGTGTATACTTTCAATGATTTCTATCTTGGAAGTAGACAAAAGATGTATGATACAATACTATAGGAGATCACTAATGTAAATGTGAAGTAGGGCTGCTTCTATGAGAACTTGAGGTTTAAATTCTCTTAAAACACTTATGAAATCAAGAGTTGTTCAGAGCCAAAATGAACACAACCATAAGAACCGAAGTAATTAGGCAAGTTATGGTGCTATTACAATTGTTTTGATTTACTCGAACGGCTGATTTATTCATGCTAAATGTGAATTTTAGAAAAGTTATTTAGAAAAGTTGTGGGACCCATGAAAGATGTGTTAACCCCAAAGTGGCCGCTCGAGCGATAATTTCATACTTAGAATTTCCCTTTTTTTTAAATTCAAAATTCTTGATTTTCAACCTTACTTAATTCACTAATTTTTCATTTATCCGAAAATAGTTTTGGACTTTCAAATATACCAAACTCATCTACTCGATGAATAGAATATGTTCGACCCATTTCCCGCCAAATTTAAGTAGCATGATCCATCCAAATATTTGATCAAAATCAACTTTTTATTAATTTTTTTTCCAACACAACACAATGCCTGTTACAATAAATTTCTATTACTCGGTTGATTTCGGTTCATTCTCACTTTTCCTCGCCAATCGATTTTGGCTCCTTTTTATTCATATCAATATAACCAGTATGTAGTCACAAACACACACGTATCTATTCAAATGGGACTAAATCCAATAAGAACCCATTGCCTGTTTGCCCCCACTGCCTCAAAATCAGACCGGAACTAGAAAACTGCGAACCGATTCAATTGATACCAAAAAATCAGATATTTAAAGACCAGATAAAAACCGACCAACTCCCCGGTCTAACCGGAAAACTGGTGAACTCTTTACTGGTTCTGCCGGTTTTAACTTTTATATTTTCCTATCAAAATTCAAAAATTAAAATTTTTTTAGGCCCAAATAGTATTAACTATTTCAATAGTCATGTTCCCTTTTATAACCTATTTCTATAGTAACTTTTTGTTGAGAAATCGACATTGGATTGAAAGAAGGTGGAATAGACTCGTTTCTTTTCCCTTTCTTCCTCATTTTTTTAGCATAATAAGAAACTAAAATGTCATAAAAATATTTAATCGACTCAATTTAGTGACTCTTTTCTCTATATTTTATGATCTCATTTCTATTGATATTAGAAGTAGATCAAATAAAGTTTAATTGCAATCAAGTTAATTAACAAGCCCTTATTTGAGTCCCATTCCTCTAAAAATTCAATTTTGCATAACTCATTTTTAACCACACATTTTTCATTAAAATAATATTACATGCAAATTCAAAATTTTTCCTTAATTTTTAATTACACATTCTCCATCAATCACTATTTAAAAATGCATTCCTTCTCTCAAAATGGGACTCAAACAAGGGAGTCATTTTGAAAAAATAACATATTTTGTCAATTTTTTTATATATATTTATATATTAATTATTTTATTTATTATTAGCAGTTCGACCTCGATTCGACCCTAATTTAACCTTTTGATCATTGACCCTTTAACTTTTTCGAATCAATGGACGGATCGATTTTCAAAACATTGCTTAGCCCTCGTTTGACCTCCATTTTTTTCAATTTATAATTTTTGGAATAATATTTTTTTGAAGAATGTATAGTTGAAAAGGAAAAAAAATTTTGATTTATATGTAATATTATTTTATGAAAAATTATGTGATTGAAAATAAGAGAGAGAAAATTAATAATGGGGCCAAACGGGGGCTTAGTATAATATATATAGCTCACCAAAATGAAAGAAATTAGATTTAGCCCCTATTTGGCTCAGATTTTAATTTGAGTCAAAGTCAAACAATCAACTTTAATCATCTTTCATGAGTACCACCACTTTTCAACCACACATTTTAAAATTTTCTATTGAAATTTACTAGAAATCTGATTTGAATCCTCACTAAACTCCCTTTTAAGATTCCTAGTCCTTACCGGATCATAGTCTGACATATGCAACGAAGATGTATCGTCCTTACTGGATCTGCTCCTCCAACTATGAAGAAGAATCAATTTCATCCTCCAAAGATTCAAAATCGTCAATTTGGTCCTCCAACAAATCACTATGTTTATCTGGTCCCTTGACTACTTATATACATCATAATCGTCCTCCTTTTCTTAAGTTTGAATTTCATCCTTGAACTAACCAATAATGTAAATTTAATCCCCAACCTGTTGAAATATCAATTTCATCTTTAAACTAGTCAGTAATATAAAGGGGGTGTTTGTGTCCCATTATTTGTGAATAATGTATTATGGAATAGTGATTGATGTTGAAATATGTGGTTAAAAAAAAATTATTTATGTGTAATATTATTTTAATGAAGAATGTGTGGTTGAAAATGAGTACTGTAGAAAAAATAATGTGGTAGAATGGTAGATGAACAAAGCCTAAATTTCATGCTCAAAGTTTTCTACATCATCAATTTCATCCTCAAACTATTTAATAATACAAAATCCTTTAGCTATTCAAGATCATCAATTCAATCCTTCAGCGTCTTATAATGTTAAATCCATCCTTCAAACAAAGCCTAAATTTCATGCTCAAAGTTTTCTACATCATCAATTTCATCCTCAAACTATTTAATAATACAAAATCCTTTAGCTATTCAAGATCATCAATTCAATCCTTCAGCGTCTTATAATGTTAAATCCATCCTTCAACTTTAATAGATTGTCATTTAGTCCTTATGCGTCTTCTGAAAAATGTTAATCCATCCTTTTAACTTTTTATTATGCTCAATTTCATCCTTAAACTATTAATAATGTTAAATTCATCCTTCATGTTTTCAATATCATCAATTTAATCCTTCAATTTCTCAATAATATTAATTCCCTATGATAACTTTTGATATCCATATTTCATCCTCAAATTATTCAATAATATAAATTTCATCCTTTAACTTTTCATTATCCCGAATTTCATCCTTCAACTTTTGAATAACATTAATTCCATCCTTGAACTTTTCAATATCCTCAATTTATCTTTCAACTTTTGAATAATGTTATTCAATCTTTTAATTTTAATATCCACAATTTCATTCTCAAATTATTTGATAACATAAAATTAGTCAAACTTTTTACATCATCAATTTCTAAAGTAGTTCAATGACACTCCACCTAGCTACCTTAACACTCAACCAAATTGCATACTTGACTTTGAGTAATGTTATTTAGCATCACTAGTACTAAACGCCACTTTAGATGGCATGTACGTGTCATTAATTGATAGATCATCTTTAAAGTAGGAAAATAAATCACATTTAAAAGGTACAATTACTTACACGATACCTAAACTGGTGCTCTAACACCAGTAATAAATAGCATTATTCCAGTAATAGATAGCATTATTCTTTGAGTTCGTTACCCTCTTCCTTTTTCTAATTTTGATGCATTCAATAATCTTAATTAAGTATGAAATAAAAGTTGATAGTGGAGGCTGCAGCCTTCCAAGATAATCTGCACAGGCACAAACTTTCATTAATGGCAACACATGCCCTGATCGCCAAATATGGGCTTCGACAGATGTTAAGCACCAACTCCATGCCTTTCTCCACTTTCCTAACTCAATTTAGTGCACACGACATGTCATTACGATAACCATTGAGGAAACTGCACTCAAAAATCACTTAGAATAAATAATAAGATAATGAAACTAAACCACTTTCAATAGAAAAATATGGACACATTTTTCTCAAGACTGGATAATTCTTAAAAAAAGAAAAAAAGAAAAAAAAACATATTCATTTAATCTTATCCTAATAAATCTTGAAGCATCAATTTTCATGAATCACCATTTGACTCGAGTAGATTGAGTTCGTGGCAGCAAGTGCACAAATTTTTTATTACGAGTCCGCAAAATGAGTTTAGTGCAAGTGCAATCCCATTTTATCTGAGATTTGACCACGACGATATAGTTGATTAAGTGGATTAACATTGACTATATAGTTGAAAATGGAAATGAGTCGATCTTTATAGGACGGAAGGAGTATTTTTTAAAATCAAATATAACCACGGAGCTTCCTTTAAATTTTCAGAAAATGGAAAGCTAGCTAGGCGTAACTTCAAAGCATGCGTATGATTTAGGTATATTTCTATTTTAAGTTGCCTATGTCTTATTGAACTTTGAAGTCACCTTATCCCATCAAGAAACTTTACTGCCGGAAATTTCCAAACCATGGGAGAGCTCCTATTCCAAAACAAAATTTCTTTGTCCACTGTAATGGAGAAATGCATCTTCTTCATTATGATATGCATGGTGAATTGTAGCCCTCCAGAAGATCCCATAAAGTGTACAGTCAATAATTCTAATTGCACCATTACCAATACCTACGGTGCATTCCCCGACAGAAGCACGTGTCGTGCGGCAAAGGTTGTC